TATTTGTGGATGCCATAATAGATTCGCAAATAGGATACTCGTTCACGTGTCAAAATAACATTTCAAAAACCATAGCTTATCAGATAACAGTTTAAACATATACCATATAAATATATCTTTACAGAAATATTACTCACAGTGGGCTCCCAATAGCAGTTGGTCGGTCCTGCCTCGTGACCTACAATGATAATGCACATAACATAACACATGTTTTATTATTACACATCAACTTGCCTTTTGGTTCTTACATCATTACCCTTCGATTCATTTTCGTTCAGTTATTTCTCTTCTTTCTTTAATCGTTCTATAATCTTTCTCATGTTTATGATATGCATATGGATGTGTATTACACGTGAAAACCATGTAAATGAAGGCCCGACAATCAAAAAATGAAAAGAAAACAAAACTGGAAAAATCAGTCCTGTTGGCCGCACGTGCAGTGGCTTGGCTGCTCATGCGGTAGCCTTGGCCGCACAAGCGGTGGTGAAACAATGTGTAATTTTGGCCAAAGAAAGTCCGGCCGCTCATGCGGTGGCCCAAGCCGCTCGAGCAGTCTGGGTGTAAAACTAGTCCGAAAATTTGTTAAAAATGGACCTTCTCCCTTTTTGCAATCTCAACTTCTTTGTATACAAAATAAGGCTCAAAATACTTCAAAACATATAGATTTAAACCTTTCCAACTTCATATAAAGATCATGGATTCAAATCAAAATTCATGACTTTAAATAAGCCTGCAAGTTCCCATATAAAAACAAATCAACTCTTGTGTAATGTAAACATGCAAGTTTGAACTCAAAATCTCAAAATTCATGGGTTTCCTTCTCAAGTAAAGAACCATGCAAGATTTCACATGTATGAACAAAAATTCATGAACTCATGCCATAGGTGATCAAATCTTAAGCTATTTCTTACAATTGTTCTCTTTAGGGTTCTTAACATCAACCCAAATCCTAAATTCCACTTAGCTTCTATGATATCATTGAGGATACAACTTAGATGCAAGAAATTAAAGAAAATTCTCACCTTAGATGGTTGATTTGGTGAAGATTTTCCCCATTTGTTCTCATTCTTTCTCTTATTTTCTTCTCTTAGTCTCTAGAAGTCTCTCTCTTAGATTTTTATTCTATGTTGAGTCTAACACTAAGGCTCATGTATATCTATTTATATATAATTGTATAAATGATGAGCCAAACTCAACTTAGCGAATCAAACGAAATCAATTTTTAATTAAACTTCCCAAATGGCTCTAAAAATTTCCATTAGTCTATCTATGTGCTCAATTTCGATTTCTGAACCCATTAAGGTCATCAATTTCAGTTCCAAAGTCGTAGCTCTAACATGTATTTTCCCAATTCAAACAGATATTTCCAAATTAAATCATATTAATTCATAATTACATAACGATCATCGTGACATGCATTTTGGGGCCGTTACACCAATATTACTAGCCGGTTACGATACTAAATCTATAAGGGCGGGTTTTGGTCATGACAAGACTTTTTTTAGCTTGGGACTAAAAAATTCGTTTGGTTTGGTTTTTTTGACTTTTGTGAGAGAAAAAATGAAATGATTATGGTTTGGATGTAACATTTTATCTTCTTAGCTTATTTAGCCTATTTTTCCTTTTGTACTTTTTTTAGCCCAACTAAACAAAGGCTAAGATTTAAAATTCCATGAAGATAAGGACAAATTTCAATATAAATGTAAAGACAGCCCTTTTAATCCTAAACTTGTGTCCAGTGGTTTCTCTCTCTTTACCATAGACAAGTTGTATTTTCGAATGTATTTCAAAATTTTAAAATTTAATAACTTTTGATCTAAAACTCAGTATTTTGTAAAATTTATATTTTTGGAATTATCCCATCGAGATTTATCAAACAAGATCCATGATGAATATGAAATTTTAAAAATAAAAAAAAATTCACTGAGTTTTTCTGACAAAAAGTTAGAGCAATTTCACTGACTTCTCAATTGTCTTGGCTTTAGTCACTGAAATTTCACTGATTTAGACTTTAAGTACAACTTAGTGAATGAGTTTTAGAAGTTAGTGAAATTTCACTAACTTTGAGGATAGCAAATTCAGCGAAAATGTCATACTTTTTTCTTTCCAGAATTTCATATTCATCACGAATCTTGTTTGATAGATCTTGATAAAAAGATTCCAAAAAAACAAATTTTATGAAAAATGGATATTCAGATCAAAAGTTATCAAATTTATGAGTTTTGAAATATATTCCAAATCTAAAAACAATTGTTGCTTGTGCTTACAACTATAAGGGTATTTTAGTCAGTAACAAGACTCCGGTAAATAAAATAATAAAAAAAATGACCGGACCTAGCATGCTCTTTTTTTTTTCTTTTTTTTTTTCCCCTTAAACTAGTAAAGATCTACAATGAAGAAGTTGAAAAAAAGAATCCCATCTTTTAACTCACAAATGGCCGTAATTAGGGGTGCAAATCCCTTGAAATTTTTTTTCTTTCATTCAGAAATTTGATATTGTTGGAGAAAAAATTGGAGTAAATTGAAATCGCATTAATAGTTTTTATAGAAAAAAGTTATTTTTATTAAAATAACTAGAGTTGTTTACACGAATATCCCTAAATTATTGAAAAATATTATTTTGCCCCTTAAATAATAAAAACGTACAAATAGATCCTTTAAACTATTGAGAAGTATTATTTTGACCCTCAAACTATAAAAGTGTACAAATGGATCCCCTAAACTACTGACATGTTCCACTTTGACTCCTTCTATTACTGTACCGTGAGTTAAACTAAACTTTTAAACATTTTTTTAGGCAAAATACCGTTCAATATTCTATATATTTATAATTCCATCATTATTGTTTTTTAAATATAAGCATTCATCCATTATTATTATTTTTAAATATTCTTTGTAAATATATTTTCACAGAAAGAGTATTTAAAAAAAATAATAAAACAAAAAATGAGAAAAATTGAAAGAAAGTGGTACTGGGTGTGTTATATAGAGTGTTGAAGGGTATTTTCAATTAAAAAATGTCAAAAGTTTGGTTTAACGGTGAAATAATAGAAGAGGTTAAAGTGAAACACACCAATAGTTTAAGGGATCTATTCATACGCTTTTATAGTTTAAAGATCCATTTGTACGCTTTTATAGTTTAGGAGGTCAAAATGATACTTCTCAATAGTTTAAATGGTTCATTTGTACGTTTTTATAGTTTAGGGAGATCAAAGTGATATTTCTCAATAGTTTAAAGGGTCTATTTGTATGTTTTCATAGTTTAGGGGATCAAAATAATATTTCTCAATAACTTAGGAGTATCCGTGTAAATAATCCTAGTTATTTTAATAAATCTTGCTCCAACTTTTAATAATAAATTTATAATTATAAAAACATTTTTTAAAAATACAATTTAACTATAATTTCACTTTTCATATCATATTTCAATATAAATTAATATAAACAAATTAAAAATAAATCAAAACTCATAAACAGAGCCAAATAAATGTTTCAATAATTTATCACTTTGATAAATTTCTAAGTATTATTACAAGTACTAAATGATCATTCCACAAATACAAAACATACATTTAAGAAGTCATAAAATTTTCTCATTATCAAAAGGAGGAGCAAATATGTGCGTAATGCGATGATATAAACCACTCAAAACGTATGTATTATATGCACTTTTTTTTATACATTTTTATAGTATGTGTTATACATTTTTGTGGTAAATGTTAAGTTGTATTTATTTATTTTTTTGTTAGAATTACGACAATTTGCAATTAAGAAATGAAGTTCCGTGCTTTTATGGTAATATTACATATTTTTTGGTAAGAAAATGTTTGGATCAAAAAACTGTAATATTACTACAAAAATGCATAATTTCATTTACGAATCACAAATTATTATAACTCTACCAACAAATTGTGTAACATTTATCATATAAATACGTAACATACACCACAAAAATATATGACATAGTACACATGGTACACTTTTTGAGGAGCATGTACCATAGAATTTCCCCAAACATATAACAAATTGGGTTGGACTTTTCCCAAATTCAAATATCAACTTGAGAGAACTTGAGCTTGTAGAGTTCACCATGGACCATTTTGATGATCAGAACTATTAATTTGTAGTGTCTCAATGTATATTATCAATAAAAAAAATTTAGTTTATTTGATAATTGTAACATTTTCATTTTATCGTATTTATTTTCGAAAAAGTGTACGGCAAATATATTTTTAAAAATACACCATCAATTTTTTTGGAGAAAAATAAAATAAAATAAAAAGTTATAATTATTGGATGGACCTAATTTTTTTTTTATGAATGATATATACAGAGGATCCTACAAAATGAATAGTTTAAATTATTGAAATGGAACTATAATGGAGTTCCATGAGCCCCCAAGTTCTCTAAAGTTGAAATGTATATTTAAGTGAAGCCTAATCTTTAAAATTTCTAGGGTAAACTCAAATAGGTCATAATAGTTAAATTTAATTCTCATCGAGTCATATTCAAAATAAGTCTTAGAAAATCATTACTAAAAATATTTTTTTGTGACGATTTTTTGTATGTCGTTAAAAATTGACAATTAATGACTTTTTTTATCATGATTTTTATAAATTGTCGCTAAAATTTACAATTACTAACATTTTTCTGTGATAAATTTTTTAAACTGTCACAGAAAATTAAAAATTAGTGATTTTTTTATGACGATTTTTTTTAAAATATTGCTAAAATTTATAGTTAATGACATTTTTTGTGATTTTTTTTAAACTGTTACTAAAAATTAACAATTTGTGACTTTTTAAATAATTTTTAATAAAAAATATCATTAATTATCATAAAAATTATTAAATAATAAATTTATCTATACTCGAGACTTTGTGAGGAAATAAGTTTAGTTTATAGGAGGTGGGATAAGTGTCCCAAAAAATAGTTTGATTTGGGTGAAGCCCAACAACAACCCAATAGATTTGTAGAAGTGGTTTATAGGCTTGGGCCTAATATCTCACGGTTCATATGAAGCCGAGGGCTGATCTTCGAAGCAAACGAGAAAATGGCTTCTTGTTCTTCTTCTACGAAGTTGCTTCGACTCAGAGGGCTGGTTTCCAGAGCTCTCAAACCCCCTTCATCTTCTTCATCTACGATCAACAAATCGTTTCTATGTTCTTCTGCGTACCTTCTAGAAGCTTCCAAGTGTGCTCGCAGACCCTCTCTCTCACCCCCTTCTAGAAGCTTCTGCTCTCGCCCCCTCAACCTCGATGTCGGCGAAGGCCCTGCGACCATCGATTACCAGTGCGTATCCTTTCTAACTTCAACCAAGTGTTATTAATTTTTTAATTTTTCCGTTTTAATTTCGATTCTCTTCCTACATTTTCTTAGCAACCAAACCGTGTATTATGGTTTCATGAGAAAGGAAAAGATTGCGAATTTTTATGACTAACCCTTCTTTTTTTTCTCAATTTTGGTTTTTAAATATTGGTTTGTTAGCGGTGAAGGTTTAATTGCTAATGATTAATGTGAATACAGTTGTGTACTGCAGGAGGATGACTTTCACAACCTAGCTGATTCCACAATACATGGTCTGCTAGAGAAATTAGAGGTGATGGTGACAAAATATCTAATATTAATGAGTTCTAGTCTAATAGTTAGGTTTTGGATGTACCTGTTTTTACTTGAATCCCAATAGTCATTCATACAAATTTTATGAATTCTCCAAGGCAAATTGTTTTCGTTTATAGTGGATGGATCCTTCTTGGCCTTAAACTAAAGGATACTATCGCGTTGGCTTGTGCTATGCAGTGTTTTAAAAGGCACGCCTAAGTGTGCACTTAGGCGCGAGGTGCACCGAGATACACCTAAGGCGCCTCAGACAGCTTGAGGTGAGGCGCAGTAGGAAAGGCGCATTTGCGGCCCGTGCCTTAGGTTTAGGTGTGAGGCGCACATCTCATGCGTTTCATTTGAATTTTTGCTCCATCCTTATTCTTTGTGTGTGTAACTATATGGAATTACAACCCCTTTAATATAAAATGTAAACACATGCTTTGAGCCCCAATTTTTATATCAAAAAAAGCTCTAGGCATTAAGCAAAAGCTCTAGGATTGCAAGATGGATATATGGCTTTGGAATTCCTTTCAAAGTAGTAAATTACAATAGTTTCGGGGCCAATGATTGAAGCTATCAGGCAATTTGGTCCCAATTTAAAATTAAAACCACTAAGGTATGGTGTGAGTTCCTTATCTTAAAAAAAATAAACAATCACGTTAATAAATTGATAAAGAAAGATAAATAGTATAGGCAAAATAAAATTGAATGTTATTTTTGAGAAAATTTTGAAACGTTGAATGTTATTTTTCATAATTTTTGAAATATTGAATGTTGTTCTTCTTTTTTATTTTATTTTTTTAATTTTTTTTTTTTTGGTTGAAAATTCAAGAATATTTGTTTTATGTTAAAAACTTCACTTATATTAATATTTTGGTTATCTTCAACGACTTGCACTTCGCTTCGATGAGGCGCATTTCTCGTCTTGTGCCTCACGCTTAAGTTCTAAGAGACCTTAGCGCCTCAATGCACCTAGAGCTTTTTAAAACACCGGTACTATGTGTGATCCTTTTAGCTAACATAACTTGTTCCTCTTTTTTTAGGTTGTGTTTGGATCATAGATTTGGGTAAAAATTTGTAAAGAGAAAGGGAAAAAGTTGGTGAAATGTGAATGAAATATAGCTATATTTCACGCACTTTTTCTCTTTTCTATTTGCTTAAAATTTTTCCCTATCCAAATCCATGAGCCTTAAGCTATCCCACCTTAACATGCAATACAATTAATTGGTCTTTCAACTAAATTTTTATGGAGTGGGTGTTCTAGTGGATGATCTCAGAAATTTTAGGTTGAAATGAATGGATTTGACGTCAATTATTTGAGAAGTATATCTTCCAATTCAATGTAATACTTTAAATTTAGATATCATGAATAGATTTGATAGCTTTATATTGATGGATTTCAAATAACTTGGTGAAAATAGTTATTTGAAATCATTCCATAAAAGATTTTATTTGTACGAGGATCTTAGGTAGTGTTTGGTTCATTGGAATGAAGTGGAATGGAATGATCATTTCATCAAAATATTCATTCCCATGTTTGGTTAGACTAAAAAAATAATCACAAATGCATTACAAATAGAATCATCTTTCACTATTTTAAAGGAATGGCCATTCCATAGGTAAGCCTAAGGAATCACCATTCCATCTCATTCCAATGAATGAAATAGAGCATTAACTAAATACATGTTTCATAGCTCTATTCAATCCTCCACTTTAGGGTTATCAATGTACCTTTAATAGCTAATCTTCTTATAATTTTATAAAATTCATTCTCAAATCCCTTCACTTGAAATGCTGCCACTCATCCAAAGGGAGCCTTAATTTTAAATTGTCTAATTGATTTACTTAATCTGTAACAAAAAAAAAAGGGGGCAATGAAAGTATTTGGAAGCATATAATTTGAATTTGTAGATAAAATAGGGTGTTTTAATAGGATGGCTAGCATTTATTTTACTATTGTGTGTCTTATATTATTCTGTATGGCAATGTTATTAAATTGGAATGGCAATTAATGTTACTGTGCTTTAACATCCCACATTTAAAACATTGGCCTAATAACCTTAAGGTTATGGGTTTAAGTCATGGGACAATCACTTTGTGCACTATGCCAAAGGTTAGGTGTGTATCCAATCTTTTCCCTCTCAAACACACATTAATGTGTACTAATTGGGCATTGTTTTTTCTTGTGATAGGAATATGGGGATTCTGTCGATATTGATGGTTTCGATATAGATTATGGGGTGAGACTGATTGTTTATTGTTCATATTTTTCAACCTCTGAAAAAATTGTGTTTGTTCTCACATACCTCTGGCATGGATTTGGCAGAACCAGGTTTTAACAATGAAGCTTGGGGCTTCGGGCACCTATGTATTGAACAAACAAACACCTAATAGACAAATCTGGCTGTCTTCCCCTGTAAGGTAGTTACTTCGTACAGAATGAGTTGATGCATTTGCCCTGTTGTTGATTAATGTCATTTATGTGTAACTTTGCCATAAAATGTTTATCCTCATGTTTTTTTGGAGAAATTTAGTAGGCCTCTTGTGCTGTCATCTGTATTATTCAAATGATGAATGTGCCAAAAACAGAATCTTCAAAGATTAAAACAAAATTTGGATAGGAGATTGTACAAAATGCTTGATGTAGATCAAAAGGTTACAGTCCTGTGGGGATTGCACTGTGCTGAGTCTGCTGACAGACAGCCTGATGACTGATATGGAAATAGTTTAACCATAACATTTCCTAATGTGGAAAAAAAATTAAAGATTAATGCCTTAAAATAAGAAAAACCTGTGTTTGTTCAAGGATCTGCTTCCATATCTATGTTTTGTTATGAGCTCATTGGAAGCCCGGGTTCATTCTAGGGTTTATAAGTTCATGCTTCAAGTTTTGTTTCATAAAGGTTTTGATGCCTTATCTGAAACATGTGCACACACACACATGTTCTAATGCTTTAACTTATCGTAAAATGCACACAAACATGGACATTTTAATATTACAAAATATGTTTTTTTGATTCTGCACATTTTCTTCGGCAGTGTATTTGAAGCCTATATGCTCACATATCCATGATGGAGGGAACTTTTTGTCTGGTCCATCTTTTCAGATAGTAATCTTGTTATCGGTCCAAATTAGCGTTATCAGAACCAACCCAAGCCAACCAATTCAGCTGTTTAAACGAGGAACCAGACTTAGACTGGTTTGGTTCTAATATTATACCAGAAATGCTAGTGAACCACTTTGAACTATGGAACAACCAGTTCTTTGTAGAACCAATTGAACTGTGCAGTTCACTAAGAACACGCCAAGTCATGTGAAATTGTTAAAAACCTCTATTTGCTTAAAATTAATTCCACTCCAGTATCGAATAACTATTGCCATTTTAGTCTTTAGCAAACATAAAGTAAAAGGATAAATAAAACAAAACATGTGAGAAAGATTGAACAATTGGGACTGGAGAAACACTATCAGAGTTTCATTTACAAAATTACACAAAACTCACTCCCACAAATAAATTAATTGATGAAATATGATGTTTCATAGAAATTTTATTCATGGTTAAGTATTAATGTATTTTTTTTAACATTTTATCTTATTTTTCTATTTTCATATTTATATTTTTTAGTTTATTAATTATATAACCAGTTGAACCAATGAACTGGTCCCTTAACTGATTTAATTTTGGGTTTGGTTCTGATAACGGTGTTCCATGTTGTTTGTGTGCTTGGCCATAAGTTAACTTGTGTGTATCATCCCTATATGGAGTCCAGAACCTATGACTTCTCAAGTTCATAATTGGCCAAGTTCTTTGCTGGTGTGAAAATCAAGACATTCAGAATTCAGTATTATCTATTTCTAATCCTCCCATCATCACGATAATCAGGCACTGTTTTGCTATTAACAAAGCCCACTAGCTATTATAGTTAGCATCATAATATTTTAGTCACTCTAACGGGCTAGCTATTAGAATAGTTATTTTAACAAAATTCTTCAAGACTAGCTACATTTGAAGAGCTTTGGGAGGCTCTTCAAACAGTTTGTGTTGTTTGTATAGATAGGTACAATAAAGAGTAGCGTTGTTGGAGTACATAGATAAAAAAAGTAATTAGGTAAAATAAAGAATAGATCTTTTTTTATTTTTTTTTTTATACATATAGATTTTAGCTAGTGAAAAATGAACAGTGTGGTTGAAATTGCTCTTAGTGCTGTTATGTTACTGATCTGTGTGAATCAAAACTAGCTGTGTGGCACATGGGCCACCTGATTAAACATTATAATTTTGTTTTTTCTTTTCTCTCCCATTCCAAGTGAATTCCCTCCTTTTCTCTCTCTTCGTCTTGCCATCTTCGTTTTCCCATTTGTGTTTTTTTTCCAGACAATGTAACAGAGGTTTCTTCTTCATTCCGTTCTTCTAATATTTTGATATCTGTGTCCAACAGTGCATACGGATTTTGGTGAGGTGTCACTGTTTCTGTTTATTGTTACTCTGACTGTGGCTCTGCTAATATATATGATTAATGTTGAACGTAAAACACAAGTGAGGCCAAAAAAAAAAAAGTGGAGAATGGGAAAATAAAAGGGGAAGAGAGAGAGAGAGGATCATTATGGGTGGCAAGAAAGGTCAAGAGTTTGCAGATTTCTTTATCCCTTGTACTCCGTTAAATTATATCGTTTAGGCTTGGTGGCCATATGCCATGCGGTGAGTTTTGATTCGCACATATCATCAACAGCACCAACAGTACCATTGTTGAAAGCAGGAAAACTGTGCTCCACGATAATCATCTTCAAAGTCACTTTCCAAATGCATCTTAATGAGTTTGAACTCCATTTCTTTTTCCTAATCCATGAAGGTTGTCCATCTATACAGAACAATTTTGTGGCTGTATAATGTGATGTGATCCCACTAAAATCTGTGCCTTTTTTCACCATTAGTTTTTTTTTCAGTCATCTCAATAAATCTTGAAGGAATATAAAGAGGAGGGATATGTTGATCCCACCAAACGATGTTTAAATTTTGAATAGAATAACCTTTGCACTTTGTCTTTTCTCTGATTGTCTGAAAAATTATATTCTTGATGCAGTGGTCCATCAAGGTTTGATTGGGATCAAGATGCTCAAGCTTGGGTTTATAGGCGGACTAAAGCAAATTTGTCGAAAGTTTTAGAAAGCGAGTTGGAGCATTTGTGTGGCCAACCCATCAATCTTTCTTAAAACTCTTGCAATTGCTGACATATGGTTGAAAGTTTCTTCTTGGATTTTCACATTGGTGGGTTGTGATTTGGTCACATTGACTGGTGGTATGTATTATTGCTCTTTTTTCTGTATTCAATTTGTGGTAACAATGGATTCCATTTTAGCCCTTTCTTGGATTCCATTTTAGTCTTTCTACACAACGATCTTACTTTAGGAGCTATTAATTTATTGAAAATAACTGTACACTTGTTTGTGTTGTAGACAACCCTAGCTGACCCTACTCGTGTATGAGACACAATCTTTTGTTTGATAGGTTCTATTTGGGTAAATTACAATAAACCCCCTTGAACTATGATCATTTTTTACTTTGCCTCCCTAAAGTTTAAAACTCTTAACACTTTGCCTCCTTTATGTTATATCTTGTGACGCTTACCCTCTATGTTGGTAAACAGTTAGAAATTTGGATGGAAACATGGCATGTGGTAGGCACATGACAGACTAAATAAAATTTTAGGATTAAATTGCCCTTATTTTGTTATCTCATAGCCAATCAGGGCTTATATATATGCTATATATGCTTCATACATATAGGTATATATATGCTTTGCAAAATTGTCGTGGTTTGCTCTGTTCCTTCCTTTCCCTTTGTATAGCACACCAATGAACCCCAACAGTCAATAGATTACTTATCTTAACCAAAAATTGTCAATCACCCACCAATTGTTGAATGTTGTTGATTGACATAGCTACAAAAACCACTGGAACCATTCACTTACCACTGACTAACCAAACATGAGTCTCGTTTTTGTGGTAGGAAGAATAACTCGTGCATGGATGAATTTTATTCTCTCGCACAAACTGTAACATTTGAATCTCTTGTGCATTAATTCCAGTGACATAATTTTTTTAATATACAAAGGTTTGGAAGCGTTACAAGACAAATAGATTGATTGTGAATCTGTTAACCTTTGCTTCCAAAAAAATTATTTCTACAAAAGAGGCATCAACAGATTACTTAATGGAACGGAAGTGGTGGTGGGTTGGTTAAATTGGGGAAAATGGCCGCAGATGGGGGGCTCGTATAAATTAGGCAAAATAAAGACCTAGTGTGCTATGTAAACGAGAGAGACCCAGTTCATGTATTCTGGTGAGGGAGAATGGATGGTGTGGGAGGGGTTTCAGTTGACCGTTAATGCTAAAAGAGGCAGCAGTTGATGATGGGGTGCGGTTGATATGAGAGAGAGAGAGAGAGAGAGAGAGAGAGAGAGAGAATGAATGGCTGGTATGGGGGGTTTCAATCAGTTGGTGGTCGGCGGGCAGATGTTTGAGGAAGATAAAGGTTAGATGATGGTTGATGGGCAAAAAGGTAATCAAACTTTTTCTGTTAACGGCATCCATTGCAAAATTGAGGAAGATAAAGGTTAGATGATGGTTGATGGGCAAAAAGGTAATCAAGCTTTTTCTGTTAACGGCATCCATTGCTTTTGCAATTTATAGAGTTGAAGGGGGTTAACTGTTGAGTTTTAAACATTGAGGGTCCTAAGTGAAAAATGATGATAGTTTGAGGGGGTTTATTGAAATTGAGTAATACTAGAGACTCAAAAGTTTTACTAAATTTTTTACCAAATTTTCTATTAACTGCATCCATTGCTTTTGCAATTTATAAAGGTTTACCGAACCACCACCATTTGTTCAGTGGTATACATCCAAATTGCTGCCATTTGTTTGATGATCTATCTCCGAACTACCATTGTTTGTTCGGCATTGATTTTTCGAACCAAGAGCTACAACTTCGATCTCTCAGTTTTATCTCTTATTGTCGATCTCGCTTTGTCTTAGTCTGGGATGTTGCGGCACTGTAAGGGTGGCGGGATTGTGGAAGTGGTAGAGAGAGAGAGAGAGAGAGAGAGAGAGCAAAGGGGAGAGAGTGGTTGGCAGAGACAGCAAGTGTGAAGGGTAGGGCGAGGGGTTGACAGATGTGGAAAAAAAGGTGAAGAAGTAGGTTGACGAAAGTGAGGTCTAGCGGGGGTCCGCCGGAGAGAGTGCTAGTGAGGTAAGGGTGGGGGTACAAAGTAGGAGGGGATATTTTGGAAATTATGGAGGGGGGTTTAAAGTAAATGAGGTGGGGGAGCTATTTTGATAGATAAGGGTTTAAAGAAGTGGGGTTCCAAAAGCATCAAATTTTGTTTTGTGTACACTTTTTGGCTAAGGAAAGCTACTTGCTTTAGGATGGTATTCTTTTGGAGACTCCTACTAGATTATTATCTGAACTAAACCGTGACATGATGGGACCTCTTTTTTTTGCTTACTGCTGTAAAATTTACTACTTTTGAATTTTAATAAAACTTTTTCTTTATTTTTTAAAAAAATGATTAGGGTATTTTTAACTTCTCATTCAAATGATTAGGGTATTTTTTTTTTTTTAAAGTTATCTTAATAGAAATAAACAAGATGTTGAGATTGTGGCCAATTTCTAAATGTTTAGTTTAAATTTTATTTTATTTTTAAAAAAAGGATCAAATTTTAAGATTTAATTTGTTATTTGAATAAGAATTATTATTATTTTGTCTTTTTAAATTCTCCCAACAATTTAAATAGAAATTAGAGTGAGAACATTTAATTTTAGGAAAATGTTTGGGACTCCTAAAAAAAGAAAACTCCACAAAAGAGGGCTCACATGACCCTCACTGATGTATTGGTCATTGATGTGTTTGAATTTTTTTTTAGAATTATGTCTAACAATAACATGAATGATTCAGATTATTTTTGGGGTCTCTATCAGTTAATTTTATGCTTTATACAAACAGCTGGTAAGTCAGTAGGTGGACGGCCAGAATTGAGAGACAAAAGTAGTGATTTCGAGTGTGTGTGGACATCCATCATTTAACTTTTCATTGCATTTATTTGCATTGGTGAATTGCGCACACAATACTTTACTTGTTTTGTTCCTACAAACAACTAAAATATCTGACTCTTTTTTCCAGTGAATTTCTTTAGTCGTTGTCACACATCACCAATACCAACATGATCATGAGGTGGAGGTGGTGAGTGGGTCCAAATCCTTATTTGAAAACTGGCTTCATAATATCTGCACGGTTGTTATTAAGAATACAACAACAGCCACACACACCACACAAAAAAACAAACACTACCACCAACCATCCAACCCACACCACTCCTCACTTCTACTCTCTTTCTCTCTTTGTCAGACAAATTTTATTGATAGTCCCTATAATTTCTTTTAAGTTTCAGTTTAGTCCTTATCATTTCAATTGTAACATATTTATTCTTTAATTTGACACACGCCGTGTCAAACAAGGACAGTAGATAAGTTCCGTCTATTTTTTTTGATAGAAAGTGTTAACCACACACCCACCTTCACTAAACCAATGCCCAAGCACCACCTCTAATTAAAGAGAGAATGATTGATTTGCGACTAGCCAACCCAAGCAGAAGAGAGAAAACTTAAGATAAATAACTAAAAATCTGATGCAAGCTTCCACCATAAAATTGTAATGAGAATAACCAACCTTTTTGTCAGGTTCAATCTAGTATTGGGTAGCATTTTAATTTTTTCCTAACGTTGTATATAGCTACTAAGATTAGGTTACTTGTTGGGTTATAATTTTTTCTGTATCTTTAAACTTTAATCTTGTACATCTTGCCTATATAGTGCAAATCCTAAGCTGTCACTGTACATAATACTTTTTTCCATTCGAAATCTAACATTCCTTATTTGACATGAAAAGTAAAATTAAAAGATAAATATATTACAATTGAAATAACATAGACTAAGAAACTATAGGACTGTTGGTGAAATTTCGCCTTCTTTCTTTCTTTGTTTTCTAAACAATCAATCAACAATTCTCAACCACAACATCCCAAAGTCCACTTGAGTTTTTTTTGTGCCTTCTTTTCCTAACCCCATTTTTTCATTATTACTTCGCCACATGCCCCCCTCTTCAACATGACTCTATTGTGAGTACTTATTGCCTGTTCTCCATCACTATCCAACCTCTACCACAAATTAGGCCTGGTTTGGAATCTACTAAACGAAAAGTTCATTTTTAAATTAAAAAAATTAAAAAATCAATGTCTTTATTTCTAATCAGTTAAAAAAATCAAACATATTTTTAACTTTTTCACTTACAAAAAAGTAATTAATCGTTATAAATTTTCACTAGTTGCTTGCGGATCAAGTTGGGTTAGATGGCCTCTCATCCGTCATCTGGCTGAACTTAGGTGAATTGAAAAAAATCAATCATTATTCGTCTGCTTAGTTAGTAGATACTGATTGAATGGGCAGTATAGGTTGGTACGTAGATGCGGATTAATTTGTCAATTTGAGCTTTATTTTTTTGAACTATTTTTCAATAATTATTTACTATTTTGAGCCCAAATTTTTTTATTGTTTATTTTTTATAATAAAAATAAGAGTAGTGCTATACAAACAATAAATTTATACATAATTTTCATACATAATGATGTGTCTTATTGTGGATCTTTCACTTCAAAACAAAACACCATTGAAGATGGATTTATTTACAATAATGACATTGCTATATCATTCTTGTCAAGTTTTTTTTATGAATCCAAATATAATTATTAAATAAAATGTTCTTGTTTTTTAATACACACTTAGAAGTGTTGGAGGATTGGATTGGGTTGAGTGGTTTCCCATTCCCTGTCCTTTAGAATATAGGCAGATTAGGAAAAATACATCCATGTCCGTTCGCTCAAACCATTGAAACCGTTCCTTATATAATGGATTGGTTTGAGCCATTCAATTTTGACGAAACGAGTCAATACTTGCCCATCCTACTTTCCACATACATTAGCCTTTTCAATTTTCTAGAAAAGTCACTAAAAATCAATTCTAATTATGATATTATCTGTTCAATTGTGTAGGATTTAAGGTTTGCGCTAAACTTTTTAATAAGATAGAAAACAAAAATAAGCCAAGAAAGCAGTTCTATGTAGTTAATGGAAAATGAATTTTCTGATAAAAAATATTTTTCAAATTAAAATCTTACTATTATAATAATCAATACAAACTAGCATATTAATTTTAAACTAGCATATTAATTTTAAGGCTGTAAATAAGAATAGAAATTTTTTCTACAGTATCACATCATAAATAATAGGATTTTTGTTAATATGTCTCTTTAGGGGATGTGTTAAGAAATTTAAATAAATTGTACATTCAACTTAAAATGAGTATAATAAAAAATAAATTATACTTGTAAACAGTTTTAACATGTACATATTACTATACACATTCGTTTTTCCGTGTATACCATATGTAATTTGTGACAACACCACAAATATTATAACTAAATCACTTTCAAATTATAAATAAAAAAAA